TCAAAAACCTGAGGTTGTGCTTGGAACTAATTACCTGCATTGGCAAGTGGACAGGAAGAAAAACTCACCTCGTACTTGACTCGACCCAGGATACGCGAGACATTTGCTGAATCCAAATCGGTTCGCTGATCAATGGACTATGAGCCAGAACTAGATTTGAATGGTAGCGGCACAACTAAGGCAAACCTTACTGGGCTACAGGCCGAGAAATAGGATTTCCAGACGTTTCGATATTCCTGCCCTTCAAGCTATCAATCCGACTGTGAGCCATTCCTCTGTTCACCTACTACAGCCTGGTGCAAAAAATAACGAACGTGAATGTTTCTTATGAAATCTCCAAATTAAGCAAAGCGGACTGGAGATCTTATGTTAAACTTTCTTTTTATGTTTTTTTTCTTCTATTTGCTGTCAAGAAATTCCACATGGATCTTCCTCTTTGTCAGCATGTGCGGTAATTAAGCCTGTACGATAGTTTTCTCAGGATTGTGGGACCATAACACAACTCTATTAAAATGGGTCTCGTTTTTACTCTTCTATCTGACTGACTCATCGACGAGTATGGTGCTTTTTGTTTTGGAAATTAAGCCTCCCATATGCGCAATTCCCTTCGTGCAAAGTTTCCTTCTAGCTTACTTTTGGGCTGGTGATGCATAGATATACACTAATTCAAAGATGGCTACTAAAAGGTATTCTATATCTTTTTTTATTCCTTTTTGTATTGACTTATGGGGTGTAGTCAGTTTCATTTTTTTATGAAACTATGTTCGTCAACTGAGCAACGTACATAACAGTGGTCTATGTTTAATGATCAGCAGGTGGCCTGGAGAGAACTTGAAGACAACAATCGATTAGCCCCCGCATCTGAAGGTAATAAGGTTGCATTGCAATGAATCCGAGAGATTTCTAACATCAGCACAATCGTGTCACTCAAAGCAAATTGAAAAAAAGGTAGCGATATTACCCTATTGCTCGTAGCAACACGCAGAACCAACCGGATCTTGTTTTATTTTTATTTGTGTCTCTCAGGCACTGTTGTTTATGGATTTAAAACTAGGATATATTTCATCATTTAAAACATCTTTAACATGTATTTTTTACACTAAAAATATGTAATTTGAAAAGTTAGATACTTGGAATTACAGATAGAGAAAACTGATCCATGCTGTGTCTTTCACCACTTGCAGCACTTTGGGTTTACTGTTGCTGTTCAGAAATGGTAATCTTAACATAGTGCACCACTGTATTTTCCAAATGTCTGACATCTGGCTCCAGCAATATGGGAATTTTAAACTTCAGGCTCTGAAACAGTTGCCTATACATCAGTGGGTAATGCCACAGTAGTTATGGCCATTTTTTATATAGAATCTGTGGTATAACATGGGGTCAAATGGCCGTAGGAGGCTAAATTCCTACAAGCTGCAAACTGCAGACGATTGAAGTTTTTTAGTACAGTAAAGATAAGAATAATGCACAAGTAAGCTGATGGTAAATGCTACCATATTGTCCAGAAATGCAAATAAAACAACTCGAGTACATCTCTCCTTTCAGGTTTTGAGGGACAACATGTTTGCTCAGTTCACCCAGCTGAAGAGCTTGGATCTCCAGCAGAACCGCATCTCCAGGGTGGAGGATGATGCGTTCAGTGGCCTCTCCCAGCTCAAAACCCTGCTCCTCCAGCACAACCAAATGACAACAGCCTATTCTTCGCTTGTTTAACCCTCCAGCATCAACACCAAATGACAACCAGCCCTTCCCACTAGAGGTATTAGCTGGTTCTTTTTAAGTTCTCTCCTCCTACTTGTACAAACCCCATTTAGAGGTGTTCGTATTGCTGCTAATAGCAAATTGGGACATTCACCTTAATGTTATTTTCTTCTGGGAGTGTGAGCTCCGCCTTACTTATTCGTGCGGGCGTCTCTTCTATGACAACTCTCTGTCTGTAGCTGCCGTGGTGACACCTGTGTCTTGGAAAGCTTGCTTGATCAGAAACTGCGGCAGGCCCAGGCCAACACGCAACTTGGGCAAACATATATCCGTGCAGCATCGTATAAGTGTAAGCATACCGGTGCTAGATATTAGTGTCTCTCGTTGTGGGGAGACGTTATACATCTAGTAGTGAGGGGCTCGGAGAACTAAAAGAATTGACTTGCCCTTTGAGACACATGCTGTCTGTTGTTTACGGCAGAAACAAGCGGGCCAGCACCGTGGCTATTGTTGTGAGATATGATAGCCTTTGAAGCCTCGCACGGTTTCTCGGCACTTAAAATACAGGAAGGAGGTGAGAACGCCTTCATGAGATGCCATCCTTTAACAATTTTTGGTTGAAGATGTTTTTTTTATTGTTGGACAGTCATCTACTATTCAATGGGCATCATGGATGCTGTGTGAGGAAGACAAGGGGCCAGAACCTGGAGTTGTAGAATGGCCAAAGCCTCCGCCAAAAATAAGGAAGCCAGATGCCACCTCCATGTGCCGCACGTACATGTTTCCCAAACCGCTGCTGGATTGCAGCAACAAAGGTGAAGTCAAGTTCTGTCTCTCTATATCTTTATCTATACATTGTGACCTATTCTTTAAATCTGTGTCTTCTTGCCTTGAAATCTGAGGCAAGAAGACACAACTTGGATGCCATTATAATATAAGTTGACGTATGCAGGTCTTGGTTGGGGCAGCAGAGGTTACCTATTAGCAGCATTGCTATGAGGATGCTGGTTTGTCCAGATGTTTTAGAAGGACTGGTGTGAAGGTTTGTGCAGAAAAACTTGGACTAAAAGCACCTTATTAAAAAACTCATTTACAGAGTTTGTTATGTTCAAATGGTGTTTATTAACTGTGAGAATGGGGGGGCGGGGGGGGGGGGCGTATTCTTTTTTTTGGACGGTGAGCATTATGTACTGGATGGGGAAGTTGTGGTTAGTAAAAAATCATCTGTCTACAACTCCAAGCTTTATCTATATAGAAGAAAAATCGTGGTTGAGACAAAATCAAAGAACCCCTATATTTACCGATGTATTCTTACCATCTGGATTTCTGCCGTCTCTTGGTGTTTAAACATTCACATAACTGTAAGTGGTTTGTTTATTATCTTGACATTTATCAGTTTTGTTTGCTTATTAGCATACTGGTGTCTAAGATAAGTTGCACAATTTCAAAATTACTACCAAACGTCACTAGTGTTTTATAAACGACCTAATAGTTATGCTTAGAGTCCCCTAACTTCTTATCTCTTATTCCATACGTCCAACTAAAGTTTCCAACACCAACACAAAGAAAGAAGCCATGTTGGGAAGTTAGGATGTGTTATTTTGCTTATCACCTTTGTTTCTCCCCTGCTCCCCATCTTTCAGTTCTCTCCGTCTACGTTTCCCTTTTTTCTTGTTCCGATTGTAACTTATACCAATCTGGATATTTTAAATGTTTCTCTGCATCTCCGAGTGATGGAGTGAAATAAAAGATTGAGGCTGGTCAACTACAAAATCGCACTGGAAAAATAAAAGGCTGAACCAGCTAATGTTTCGGGAAAAATGCGAAATAAGAATTCAGGTTTCTGATACAGTTCCTTTTGGAGGATAGTTTGGATCTAAAGTCCTTCAATCGAAGAGGTTTACTTTAGGCACATCGTTTGAGAAGAGTAAGAGTTTCTATGGGTGTCAGGTTAACTTTGATTATTGAAAACCTTGATTTCAGTAAGGGGGAGCATAAATTCTACACAGGAATTGTTTTTTCAACTAACAAACTTGAGGTCTGAAAATCCTTAACTACGCTGAAATGTCTTAATGTGAACTCCGTTTCTGTTGCTAGCTAATAATTCACTGATAGTTAGCGGTGAGAGTGTTTGAAGATTGGATAACTAGATCGTTGGCATCTGAAATTCTGTTTATCATCAAAGTGTATGCAAAGCGCCTGATTCTGTTTGATTGTGAGCAAAGTAGACTGTGAGAAACATTAAGTTATGAGTCACTAGGCAGCAAGCGCGCTTGTTAGCGCTTATATTCGAGAATTTTATACTAAAAAATGTGTTGCTTGGTAATCTTTTGAAATGCCATCAACAGTTAAAAAGACATTTTATGCTAGAATAAGAGCTAAGACATGTAGTTGTATAGTAAGTTTAATAATATTCATTTAGTTGAATTGGACATGGTGTCATGAGTGAGGCAGAAAAAAAAGGGAGGCTGATGCTAGCACAGACAATTTTTTAAATATTAACAGTCGGATTGAAGTTACTATAATTATTACAGGAATCCACCAAGACTCAAACTCAGTAATCTGGCTATCAAGATAGTACACATTATTTCATTGCTGGTATACTGAGATATCAGTGTAACTCATTACAAGTAGCTCTGTCCATTCTCGCCCAGGTGGCCTTGTGGCTAAACTTAGGGTCCCGCTTCCTTTGTTGCAGGTGATAGGACAGGAGGTTCATAACTCTGGCGTGCTGTGAAGGAGTACTCCCCATACAGTGACATAGGCACAGTTCGTATGGTAGCTTCTGCTAGCCGGGCACCGCCGCTCTTTCAGGCGCAGCTACTATTACAGTCCTGCTGTCCATTTGTCGTGTCTAGTTCCGCTGAGAAACTTAAGGCGCAAAGAGTTTTTTTTTGTTGAATTAAATGTTTGGATTATTCAATCAGCGCGGCAAGCTCAGAGACGTGTTTTGTCTTAGTTAGGCAATTTCCTACACTGGCCTGTCTGAGCCGTCGCTGGGGCGGAAATGGCTTAGCTACATCTCGTTATGCTTTGATGGCCGGTCTTCGGAGTAACACCTGTCCTTTATGTCAGAACTAGCTTGGAGCTCCAGCCCTGTCTGTGTGAGGAAACAGTTGGATTGCTCAAGTCAAAAGTGTGTGTCAATAAATTATATGGAAAATCCACCCCCTTCAGAGGCAAATTCGTACAGAGTGGCTTTTGCTGCTAGGAAGTGAGATGGTCTAGATTATCTGGATCAGTACCTGCGACGGTCTCCTCCCCTCAACTTCATCTGGAGAACGGAAGTCCGCCACCCTACGTATGCAATATTATGCCTTCCTTCGTGTTCTTCAACGTTAATTGTCGACAAGGCACAGATTAACAATTGCCTCTTCATTGGCCTGGGTGCGATTATACTCCGTTTGAACCATGAAATTAACATTAAGGACCTGCTGATTGAGTTACCTACAACTCTAGTGTGTTATTTGCAGTTACAAGCCTGTTTGACAGGATTTAGTACCTAAGGGTGAGGGATCAAGTTGAGGTGTCCCCATGTACTCTCCTGGTATATTTCAACAAAAAGCTTGAGAGCTACGGTGGTGGGCTTAGAGTCACTGACCGAACTTCCTTATTGAGTTTTTCTTTTCTTTTTTGCGTTGCTTTTTGGTTGTGATATTTTATTGTTTTAGGAGGAATTTGTGATTTTTGTTCACTTCATCGAAATCGTAATACGAGATAAAATATCTTAATTTATTGAGATACTCAGCCGATACACCTGATTATTTAATTTTAGAAAAGGGAAAAAAAATACAAGAAGCAATGATGGAACCACATGAAGCTGGTCAGTTTATGAACATCTTTTGTGTCATTTCCTGAGGGATATTTAATCTAGGCACATTTGCTTAACATGTATTCGTTACTGAGTTTTTGGTTGCAGAAGTTGAAATCAGGTATTGATGATGAAGGAAAAAATTCCAACCGGAGCACCTGGGCCTTCCAGAAGGCTATGAAAAGGTCTTATTTCTGGGCCCTGGCTTCGTTCGGGCTGGAATTCTCGTTGAATTCGATGTATAGGGTTGTTTTGGTTGAAAGGCTTTTGGAGCACCGGCGTGTCATTTTACGTTGGAGCTATTTTCTTGTATCATGTTTGTAGAGAACTTTCCATATGTTAATTAGGCCTTATCTTGCATATCTTAAGTACTTCGTAACTTGGTGATACTGCAGCCATTATAGCCTAAAAAAATTCATTTATTATAATACACTTTACATTTATTCCTTCTGACCACCCAATGTAAACAAATGATTAATTTCTTGGATTGGCGCTTTGAGCGTCAAAGTGCTATTCAACTTAAAATGCAGTTTTGAGATGCTGGTTAGACTGACCCTTCCAAAAAAAACAGAATTTCCTGTCTCCACAAGCGATTTGTCGCAAAGACTACACGCAGCCTTAGCTACCATATGCACACCTTTATTTACCAAGGTGTCGCATGCTCCATTAGTCTTAATTCACAGCGATGTGAAAGACTCACCGCCAGTCATTGCAAACACTTGATTGACAAGGACTTGTGCTTACCAGTTTTTAGGTTTAGGGGCAATTACTTTATCACAGCACTACACGTGCGCTCTAAACTTTGCAAATATAGTCCAAGTTCTCACCCAGGTTTTCACATCTGGTTCTATCTTTGCATTAAGCTGTCACTATGAGACTGTTGTCATAGTGACCCCAGTGTTGCCTTCAAAAAGACAGATGGCAATTTCTGAATTTGTGCAGATCCCTCGTGGTTACTTTCATGTGGCCTCTCCAGTTCCTCTTCTATCTTCTTTTTGTTGCCCTCTCACCATCCATTTAATTTAACACACTGTTTAACACACACTGAAACTCTGACACTTTCTGCGTCCATTATTCTGACCAAGTCCCACATGAGGATTTGAATACATCTATCAATGGCGAGCTTGTATCCTCCTGAGAAAGCAGTCTTTCATAGAGAATCTACAAGCCAAAACCACACAATGCAGCTTCTGTGTTGTAAGGACTTGAAGAAGCTTTTGCATATTTTCCTAATTATTTTTTTTCTACAGTAAGACATTTGAATATGTTCTTTATCTGAAGCATCATAAGGTTTCTCTGTTTCGCTCACAGGGTGAACATCCCATCCATCTCTCCACAACTTTCCTTTTTTATGCCCAGTAATGGTTCTCCCCATCCTGCCTCTTTCTAAACCACACCGCACCATAAAAGCTGTATGTGTTGTGCTTAATATGGTGCAGCTGTTGTGCATGACAGTTAATTCCTGGTTTTGTGCTTTTGATTTGAAAGGATGCCCACGCTGCATATTTACTTCTCATTTTGTTCTTTTCCAGCACTTGTGTTTTCATTTAATAGTTGTATTAGCCGTGTGAAATCTAATCTAAGCATTACACTTACATGATTTCCCCCTAATCGTTTGTCTATTTGACAATCTAAGTGCTTAGAGTTTTCTTTGCTGTAATTCAGCCCAAATGAACTACTGTTGTAGTGTCTTGATGCATGAAACTAGCACTACTGAGGTTAGTTTCTTGACTATTAATATGGAAATTGTCATGACCAACAACAACCACTGATCAGAGACCACTGATCAATGGCCATTCACACAGGGTTGTGGAATTGCTGCAATCATAACATTGTAAGATGCTGTGATTCCTTCAATTCAGAGATGGTCTTTCCCTTTTTCAGTAAACGGCCTCCTTGATTTCTTCAACTAACCTGTAGGTGTGAATAGAGTGCGGAGTCTTGGTCTGATGAGTTAGCTCTTTTGTGTTTTGCCATGCACTTCACCAGAGGTTGTGGGGTTTTCCCCGTTACTCTGTGGGGGACCAGATCCTTGGGGTGGACCAATTTTTGGCACTCTAAGCACTTAGATTTTGGCAACGCATACTGATCTGTATGCGTTGGTTTATGTTACACATCAACTTTTGAATCTCACAGTCTAAGAAGGCTAACTTGATATTTTGGTTAACTTGATGTGTTGGTCCACTGAGTTAATGTGACCAGTGAACCGTGGTATATCGTCAAATTTGATTTTCACCCAGGTGTCATCCACATACCTGAACCAATGATTTGGTGGTGTTCCAGGGTAGGACAACAGAGCCCTCTTTTCCACTTCTTCCATGAACAAGTTGGCCACAGTGGGTGAAACTGGGAAACTGTTGTTCGTCCATGTTTTTTTTCTGGTTTTTGTACTGACCCGTTTTTGTAAAAAATGTGGAAAGAAGACAGTTCCAAAAGCAAACACACTTGGTCAGTGCTGAGAGTGCTCCTGTTGTTGAAGTTGAGGTCATTCTGTAATTTCTTACGAGCTGCGTCCACTGCTTCAGTAATGAAAGATGTAATAACATCCCTTTGTCAACAAAATCTAATGTCTTTTGGATGTGGTGTTTAGAGCTGCCTACCAACGTGTTGAGAATTGAAGCCAGAAACTTTGAGATGCTATAGGTGAAGATGATGGGGAAGGCATACTGTAATAAAAGGATAGAGTACAAATAGCACAATGTATCTCCAACTGCCACATCTGTAAGAAAAATAAACATACAACACCTGGAACACAAACTTTTGAAAATACACAGGTGCATAAATCAACAATATGCCTGTGTGTGTGTGAGTGTGTGTGAGTGAGTGTGAGAGAGAGAAAGAGAGAGAGAGTGTGAGTGTGTATTTGTGTATTTGTGTGTGTGTGTGTGAGTGTGAGTGTGAGAGAGAAAGAGAGAGAGAGTGTCGAGTGTGAGTGTATGTGTATGGGTCTTTGTCACGAATGTACTTGAAAATGATGGTTAGAAGCCACAAAAACGAAGCCCGGGAGCCAGAAGCAGACAGAGATGGATCGGGGAAAACCGGGCCACCCGCAGCCCCCAAGAGTACTGAAGACCTAAGGCCAAACATCTTCACCCAGCAGGAGAGGGAGGGATAAGTACACACCCCCCTCAGATTATTCCTCAGCACTGTGATTATATTGGTTTTAGGGCCATGGTGTGACGTTAATGCCCATTTATCTACAGTGTCTTAGTAAAGTCCTTGGCCACTGTTATAAGAACAGTTTGAGTTCTTTATAGTTTGCTTCCAAGAACCCAGACTATCTTTTAGTTGTTAAAGTGCTCTTGAGCAATAGCTCTTCTGTGTTTTTCACAGGCTTTCAAGGTTTTCCTTTGGACATTGGCTGCTTTTTCGCTCATTTTTAGTCCAGTCTTGGTACGTGACCGTTTTCAGAATGTCTGTCAGGCTGAGTAGCCTGACAGACATTGATGGATGAACCAGTGTTGTGTCTACGCATAACAGAAACCTTAACTACACTAGAGTATATAAAATATTCCATCACTTCTGATATTGTAAGATGTTATACATAAGCCAGACGTGTTAAATGAGAGCAAAATACATCTTTCCATCTTTTAACAGTCCCCCGCGCCCAACATTATAAATCTCATGATGATGCTCAGAAACCCAGTTTTATGTTCCTAGACATTGTTTTCAAAGCTGCTGTTACAGCCGGTAAATCATAGATTTCAGTGGTAACAAGTGCTGTGTAAAAACTTGGGACATTTGACATCTGAGTAGGCAGCACAAAAATGAGTCATTTGTATATGGTGACTTGGCTGCACATACACCCGCACTCATAGCACTGTTATAGCTCTCTATGGATCTCGTGGATCACAGACAGCGGGCAGATCGTTAGCAGAAAACAAAAAGACCATATTTTAGGTTGAGGAGAAGTTGCTGTGGTTTCAAGGGTCCTGACTGCAATGTTAACTGTTTACCTTTTGGGAAACTTTTTTACTTTTTCACACTGGGGTGAAACGGTCACAGAAGCAATCAATTTAGCATGGGAGGAGCACTGATTTGGTCACCATCATAAATATAAAGTAAACAGTGTTTCTAATAGGTTTTCCACTTAATAATAATCTCAACTCTGTTGCTAAGGGTTCTGAATAGACTAAGATTCATTGCACTGCATATCTGTGTTTCTTTCTCTGCCATGAAAGCATTTACATTTACAATTTAACAAGTAAGGTGCATTTGACCTCACATGACATGTGGAACCGAGAAAGGCCCATCCTAATATATAAACTACTTTATTGCATCCTAGTGCTACTATGCAACACATAATACTGCCTAACATAAACATGTGAAGTAACCTTTTCCCCCGTCAAAAGTGGGGTGTGCTTCCAAAAAGGCCATAAATGGCTGCTTACTATTCACTATGCACAGTGGACCCCCTGTAATCACATCAGCACTGTAAAAAATTAATGGCTTCACTTTCTGCTGTCTAAACAGTATAAAAAGGTTTTGCAACACGTGCTCTGAGTGAGTTCAGTGTTTTTGCACAAATTGAATATTTGCTTTGCAGGAATGACTGAAGCGCTTCATGATATTTTATGGAATCTGAAGCCAAGAAAGAAAAGACTCTGGCTACGGTCCGGTACTTCACTCCACATATCTATTTAAATCATCCTTAGTGCGAGCACATAAATAGTAGAGTGGGTTACACAGATAAATTTCCAGATTGATGCTCTGCACTCCTACTAAATAATGTAAATAGCTTCGTTCTTTGTATTGAGACTGTGTAAATACTGCATTTACTCCCTGTGTTCCTGTGTTTAACTACTATTAGTTGTACTAATACAGGAACCTCTATGCACTGCATTGGTGAGTGGCCACGTATATTACTGCTAAAAAGTTATTTAAAGTTGGCCTGTTGAAGTGAACCAGGTGATTCAACTTAGACTACAAATAATAGATTATGACATCTGTGAGAATTTAAAAAAATATATATATTTATAATGGATTTTTTAAATAGATTGAGTTTCCAAAAAGGAAACGTTTTCTCATGCAGCTATAAAGCATGAAGCCCTTTTTAAAAAAAGAAAAGTCCAAGAGGTACAGCTGTTCACCGAACTAATGACTTCAGCAGATTCAGCGAGAGCCCAGTGCAGTGATAAATGACTTTCACACTTCCTGACCCAGGTCCTTCCTCCGTATCTTCCTTCATTCATCTGTCTCATCAGTAGAGACATGTTAACAGATGTTAAAGCAGGAAAGTGCTTAACACTTTATCTGCCATATCTGTGCCATGAAAAAAGTGACTCCTGATAAAAGCTTCCTGAAACTTCCTGAAAACACAATTATCTCCAAAAAAGAAGAACAAGCAAATCGGTCTCGGCTCACCCAACACCGTAGCTCAGCTTTTTGTTGAACTTTTACTACCCAGAGGGAAACATGGACTTCTGGTCACAGACACTACTGTCACAGCTGAATACACAGTGTAGGCGTAGGTCTTTATTTATGGTAAAACACCGAAGACCACAGATGTATCTGTCTTTGCAATGGAGGATTTGCGTTTGGCTCGGAAAACTGAAGTCCGATTTCTCACAAGGGAATCAGGAAGTTTAAGTCTAATGTTGGAATGACCGCATTTCCCTTTCCTAAAAAGCTGCTTTGACAACATTTCAGACACATTTACACCTATTGGCAGGCTGGGATTCCCTTTAGGTTTTCCAGAAGAAAATTTCTCGCCACATTGGACTGATAACATGTGCTGGAGTGCTCTCTGAAGACAATTTTTGCTTCCCTGCATCACATCACAAAACAATAATCATTACACTTCCTGAGTCTGTTGGCTACATCTGTGTGTGTGCTGCATGTGTGTGTGTTTTCTTGGAGTCTGTGATGATTAATGGCACCATGCCTCCATAATAAAACCAGCTATAACATCTGTGGCAGTAAAGAGTACAACATCTGCGCTATAAATGTGTCCATAAGCATACTTCTGATGCAGCCTGTGTAAATAAATACATTCAGGAAACATCTTTGTATGCTTTGCCACACACATTTCATTCATGATTTTACTTACAAATCTACAAAAAGTTGGCATTCAATACCAAAGCAAAGCATTGTTTAATTATGTCTTAGGCCGCGCTTGCTGCCTATGCACACTTATGTTTCCTCCAGTCTATTTTGCTTCACAAACAATCAGCTATGATCCTTTTGATGATACAGGTTGCATGGGCCACCTAGTCTGTTTTAAACAGCGCTACAATGTGATTGGCACGGCAGATGGGACTTCCAATTTAAAAGATATTCATGATGTTGCCCACCATGACAGGTTCAACAAATCTAATGACTCAGGAAACCACAAAGTCTAATCTGTGAAGGCTTTGATCCAAAACCTCCAAAAGGTAAACTGTGATCAGAGAAACCTGAATCTATTCATTGTTAGTGCCGAACATACAGGTTTCAGCCTTTTATTTTCAGTGGTTTTGTAGTGACAGCGTCAAATCTTTATTTCACCTCCCCCATCACGGCAGGAGGAACATTTATAAAATCTACCTCCGGTGTGGGACTTTAATTCAAAACTCCAGAGAGGCTCTGTTATAGAGATTGCGATACGTAGGACGCTTTGACTGTTTAGTGCATTACTGACTTCAAAGACAAGTATGAGTGTGTGTGAGTGATGCTTCCAGTGTAAGCAGAAAAGAGATCCCTCTGGCAAATAAGTGAAATGTTGTCATACATGATGTCCCCTTTGACTACATCTTGAAAATGTAAAAAGTTGCACACAACCTGCAAACCATCTTGAAGCCATAAAGATGCAGACACATTTCTGTCTGAGTTGAAGAGCCGGAAATGTTCGCACCCTCTGTTCACATATCTTTTTTTTGTGTGCACTGATGATAGTAAAAACTTTTGTCTTTCAGGTATCATGAAAGTTGAAGGCCTAATGTTTCTGAACTTTTTCTGTCTGCAGATTTGATTAGCATCCCACCTGACCTGCCATCTGACATAGTGAGGATGGATCTGTCCAACAATAAAATAAAACATCTCAAGCCAAAACATTTTGTGCTGTCCAAAGACCTCAAACTTCTCAACCTCAGCAGTAACAACCTGCACCATATAGACACAGGTAACAGAAGCACCGCTCACATATTCTCTCTCTCCCACACACACATGTGAATCTGAGCACTCGTATCTGGATATCCAAGTATTTTGTGTTGTCACAGCACAGAAAACAGACCCAACTGCACAACTCAAAGATAAGATAAATTCCATTTTTAAGGGTGGTTCAATTCAATTGTGTCTATATAGCAGCCAATCACAACAATCTCCTTAAGGTGTTTTATGCCAGGGATTAATAATAAAAAACAATTAAATACAGAGTGGTGTATAAACAAAGAGATTTAAAAGTGGTGAGTGAAGAAGAAATGCTCAGTACATCATGGGAAGCCTCAGCCGCTTAGGTGTATTGCAGCTTTTCACAGGAGGTTTTGCAGGATTCGGGGTCACCTGATGCCCTAACTACACTACCTGGCTTGGATTTAACTAAGCAAATAGGTACAAGCCTCATATTGGACAATTACTGCATGGGGGATTATCTTTCAGCTGGCAACAACTTATTTAACCCCAACTGGTGCAATGAGTTCTTTCTCATTTCATAAACAACCGCGTCGAAAGACACATCTCATGATCGTGAAAAAGATGTTAGTGTGTTTGAGAAGGGTTAAATCATTGGCACCCATCAAGCTGAGAAAACATCTAAGGAGATTGCAGAAACTACTAAAACTGGGTTAAGAACTGTCTAGTGCATTATTAAAAAGTGGAAGGATACCCATCATCAGAAAAAAAAAAGTAGAACTCAGAGCTATGTTTAATAGTAAACATGCACAAAGCGAAGGGAACTCAAGGGATTGGGACTGAACAGCTGTGTAGCCATAAGAAAACCACTAATCAGTTTGGCAAACCAGGAAAAAGGGCTTCAATTTACTAGGGAGCATAACGATTGGACTCTGGAGCAATGGAAGAAGGTCATGTGGTCTGATGAGTCTAGATTTACCCTGTTCCAGAGTGATGGGCGCATCAGGATTCGAAGCGAGGCAGATGAAGTGATGTACCCATCGTGCCTAGTGCCTACTGTACAAGCCTGTGGGGAACGTGCTATGATCTGGGGTTGGTCAGGTCTAGGTTCAGCAACAGTATGTGGTCCCAGAAGGAGGTCTGACTATAGTGAATGACAAGCTTATTCCATCAATGGGTTTTTTCTTCCCTGATGGCACGGACATGTTCCAAGATGACAATGCCAGGATTCATGAGGCTCAAACTGTGAAAGAGAGTTTCTGGGAGCATGAGACATCATTTTCACACATGGATTAGCCACCACAGAGTCCAGACCTTAACCCCATTGAGAATCTTTGGGATGTGCTGGAGAAGGCTTTGCGCAG